TGAGACAGAGGAGGATATGAGTTTCACTGTCGACACCAGAAAGCAGTAGGACATGAGTTTCACCACAGACATGAGGAGGCCAATGCGCTCACAGTGAGGACAGAGTCCAGGATTGGTGCTGTTTGTCTTGGAGCCGTGCGGCACTGTTACAAGAAATCAGGAGTCTGGAACTGGCAGAGACTCTGATCAAACACACAGAGTGACTGAGGGAGCGGGCATTCCTGTCTCCCTGGGGCTTTCACTTTCAGAATGTCTTTCTTTCTCTCCCAATCCCACTCAACTCGTCTTTCAAGACTCAGACAGCTCAGTCTCAATGTGATGTGGTCACAGAAGACAAAAAGCATTGTGCTGAAACCGTGTAACACAGCAGTAAAGTGTCATTTACAATACTGTGTACAATTTTAGTCACCATGTTATACCCAAGATATTGTTATCTAGAGTCAGTCCAGACATGAGCAACATGAGTCTTCCACACTAACAGACAGAAGGAACTGAGTCTCTTTAGCCTGAAGGGAGGGTCCCACACTGACAGGCTGAAGGAACTGAGTCTCTTTAGTCTGAAGGGAGTTTCCCACACTCACAGGCTGAAGGAACTGAGTCTCTTCAGTCTGAAGGGAATTTCCACACTCACAGGCTGAAGGAACTCAGTCTCTTCAGTCTGAAGGGAGTTTCCCACACTGACAGGCTGAAGGAACTCAGTCTATAGTCTGAAGGGAGTTAAGTCCTGTATTTAAACAAAAAGAGTGGTGGGAGTGTGGGACAAGTGGTGTTGTAGCCAATACCCTGGCTTCTTTCAAGAAACACCAGGATGACATCCTCAACCACCAAACAGGCTAAATGGACTGCCATACTGTATTTGAGACGGTGTTTTTTATGTGGGGAAGCAATAAACAACAAACAGAATGCTCCAGAATACTTGTGATTCTATAAACAAGTCTACCCATCCATCTCCTAGCTGCTTCATCCAATTCAGGGTCGTGGGGGAGCCAGAGCCTATCCCAGCAAGCAATGTGCCACAAACACACACTCACACCAGGGCCAGTTGTCCCAGTAGCCCTTTCATCCACCAGCATGTTTTTGCACTGTGCGAGGAAACTGAAGCACCCAGAGAAAACCTACAGGGAGAACATACAAACTCCACACAAACAGCACCCCAGGAATCAAACCCAGGGCCCCAGCTCTGCAAGGCAGCAATGCTGTCCACTGCACCACTGTGGGTTTTAACTCATGTTTTAACTCATGTTCCAGCTTCGCAACACCTACACCTCTTTCAGATCATTGGACTCAGTTTCAGTCGGCAGACCTGATCTCAGGTTAAAGGAGTTTAAGCTCTTTAGTCCAGAACAGAGGAGGGTGAGAGGAGATTTTAATTGAAGAATATAAGATTGTAAGGGATCAATATGAATAACCCAGAGGAGTATTTCACACTATGTTCTGAAACAAAGACACAGGGTCACAAATGGAACTAGAAGGGAATTCATTTATATGGAGAATAGGAAATGTATCTTTACACAAAGAGGTGTGGGTGTATGAAACATCTTCCAAGCCAGGCAAGCGAGATTCACTTACTCAGCTACTAAACCGGCACACATTTTAGGCTTAAGAGTCTCTTCTCATTAGTTACCTTCCTTGTTTTTGTGTGTACCCTGTCTTTCCTCCCTCTGCTGCTCTCTCCTCTCCCTCTGTCTCCTGTGTCACTGTCTCCTGTCTCTGTCCCACTGTCTGTCC